TTGTCATTCTTTGGTCCTTGTGGTGGGTGCATAGCTGAGGCTAGAATTCTCTTCAGAAGTTTGAAGATCATAGAATATACCAAAAAGGGCTGAAGGAGACTCCATTCATGTTATTAATTGGTGTAAAGGAGACGAAGAAATCCCATGGAAACTACCTGTAGCGTTTGATGTGGTTAGAGATTTCACAAAACAATTTTGTGCATTGCTGCATGGAGACCAACAAAAAGGCACTTGCACTTGACAAATAAGACTTTATCCCACCATTTTTTGTAGTGACTAGATTTTCATTCAGTATATTTAAATATTTGTAAAGTCAAAGTAATATTAATCAAATGTTTTAAGTTAACATTAAAGAAATTTTAGAGAGAGAAGAACTATTTAAAAAATGAATATGGCATTTGAATTTTGTTTCTATTAAACATTAGAAATAAAATAAAGAAAGAAAGAATCATTTGCTAGAATCAAATGGAGACTTCTAGTTTTTGGAAGGTGAAGTGTAGGTGGTGAATTCAATATTTTATTTTATTTTTAATCCCTAAAACACTGATCCTCAAAATTTAAAATGAAAAATATCTCTTGCCTAAGGAAAAAATGTACATTTTTTTTATGTGAGAGCATAATATCGTTGTGACTTGCATATTTTTATAGTCCATCATCAACGTCTTTTTCCAACTAATTGGGACTGACTATACAACTCATAGTCTATCATTCTGCTCTATTAAAGGTCACATCCTCAGTGAAGTTATAAGTCCTCATATATTTTCTTACTACTTCCAACCATGTCTTTTTGGGTATACTTCTTGTTTTTTTTTAGCATTTCACTTGAACTAACTCGTACCTCCTAACAAGTACTGTATTGGGTTTGTGTCACACATAACCAGCCCATCTAAGTCTACCTTCTCTCATCTTATCACCTATCAGTGCCACACCTAAATTCTTTTGAATGTATTCATTTTGAATATTTTTGTAATCTTTCATAATATTGCTTTAAAAAATTTCCAACAAATACAAGTAGCAAAATTCAATCCCTCATTTCATCATCACCAATACAATTAAGAAACCCAAAAGATTCTATACTCTCTCGGAGCATATTGTCGATCTACTCCCTCGGGTAGTACCTAATCTAGGCTTAACTTTAGGACCCCAATTTGGGGGATGCAACCTCTTCAAGCCATCGACTAATCTCAATAAAAGAAAATTTCTAATTGCACTCTCCATGAGAAAATATTGTCCCAAGGTTGAATAAAGACCGTCTAATTTTCAAAAAACGAGATATAAGTGTTAAAAGGCTCAAAATTCCATTTTTTTTTTTTAAAAAAATAATCATCCCTTAATTCTTCAGTGGTTCCCAAAATTTCGGATGAAAATAATTCCTCTCAAATATGACTTTTATGGCAGAATAGTGTACACAGACAGAGAAATTCCTAGCAGCCTACGAGAATCTCTTCTTGGGCACAAATTAAAACGTAAAAACAAAAGGGAAAATAATCAATTGGGGGAAGAAGTTTCTTACACGCCAAGGAGCCCACATCTACGCACGTGTGGCCCCACCACACGCAATGGCTATGACCCACCAATAAAAAAGCAAGTGCTAAAAGGTTTACAATGACACCACAAATCAATGGTGGAGATAAATGATGCACTTGAGATGATAATCGACCTTCGGTTCCAAAGATGGGTGACGAAGATCCATTTTTATGTGGCGCACATGACAATTCAAAGCTAATCTCAATCGAATGGTCAGAATTAATCCGCAAATGCCCTAATTGTGTCGCATGTGAGCATCGTATGTGTTAAAATTGGTGTTCTCTATGAATATTGTAAGTGGTCAATGTATCAATTTAGAAATCAAGACACATCTATACATATATTTTTACAAAGGGATTGTATACAGTAAAATTATTTATCTTTGATACAAGAAGGTCACAATTACTTATAATCATATGATGTGAAATATGATAGTTTGGATGTGCCACAAAGTTTGAAAAAAAAAAATTTCAAATTTGAGCTCAGTCAATGAAATAAATGGAACCGGCCAATTTTATATCCAACCGTCAAAATTAGTTGTGACCACCTTGTACAAAAATAAATAAATAAATTTATATTTTTTCTTTTATAAATGAAATGCTATATTTTCTCTAATACATACTACATCTTTCTCTCCCTTTCTGTTTCACTTGCTTTTTAACATTCACTTATCCCAAACGATTTTGTGCTCTTGCAAGAGAATATGCTTATTCATACCCTTCGGTAAAATCAAGTGTAGGAGTGCTTTTAGGGTCTTGAATTTTGGCGATATAACCACTTGAATCAATAGATTTATCTCAATAAGAAAAATCTAGCGAATCCCTACAGTACTTATAAAAGATAATGCCTCATCGACCATCCAAATTTTAGAGGGTGAGATTTAAGTTTAAGCAAACTTAAATTTCAATTTTTTTCTTTAGAAAATATTGACCTAATGATCTTTAATATATTTATCAGAATTCCTATGTATCAATACGTGTCAGCATGCATATACGTGTCAAATATCAACATAAAATCATACAAGTCTCCACTTTACACTACTAGTGTATGGTGAAATATGTGTGGTGTGTTGTGTTGATTAGTAGTATGAACAGGGTGGTGGACCTTGAGGAACATGAAGGCTTTTGGTCAAAGACCCAATATTCGACGCCTTTGAAAGTGGAAAGACTTTGGTAGTCTCTCATTGGGTTTCTTGGCCCTTTCCTTGGGATTTCCATGTCCATGCCTCTTTATTATTTCATTTTAGAGGAGTATCTACCAAAATGCTCACCTCCATCCTATAAACATAAAAAAATTACCTTTATGCTCTTAAAATTGACCTAGTTTTGAGAATTGCAATTTACCCTCCTCTTCCTCTTTGGGTATATATTTGGGGGCCGACAGTCATCTGATTATGATAGAATAAATAGCAATCAACAAATGAAGACTTAAATAAAAATCGGTTCCCAATTATAACACTGACCTAGGTTCATTTCGAACATATGATCAAAATTAGAAAGATGTTAAGTCTGTAAGGCACATAAATGCTTACATTACACTCCTTTTAAGAGCATATGTTGTACATCTACTCCCTCCGTCAAAAGACTTATTAGGGAGGATTTTCTCAATCTGAAATTTTGAGAATTTCAAATTAGTAACTATATGAATATTTTTTAAAAAAAAATTGGAACTTTGAGTTCGTAAATTAGACAGCCACTACTCAATCTTAATATATTTCCTTTTTAAGGGCATACATCAAGTAATTTGTAAATTCTTTTTATTGAGATTCATCTATGGATTGATGATGTTTCATCCCTAAAATTGGGGTCCTATAATAACTCCTACATTGATTTTGCCTAGGGAGTAAATGGAGAGAATACTCCCACATGAGAAATCTATTGTGCAAATTACATAATAGGGAGTTGTAGAAAAGTTTACCTTCTCTTTTCTTTTTCTCTTTTGCCAATAATTCATAGTCAAACCTTAAGTTGTTGGCGATAACCACAACAATCAATCTCAAATATCAATTTCTAGGTATGGCCTTTGATTGAAATGTGTCCAATGACTAGCATGCATTGTCCCTAGCATAACTACTAACAACGGTTTTACAAGTCAATGGTATTACTTTGACCTACTTCAAACACTTACTTTACCCTATCCCCAAGAAAAAGAAATATTTTTATTTTTATTTTTTTTATTTTTTGAATTTCAGCACTTGTATTGACATTTCCCTAGAAACTCAACACTTGAATTCCGTTTCCTCCAAGGACTAGCCATATTCTTCCTTTTTTAGATTTTATGCATGTTACATGAAAAATAAATAAAAGTATGCATCGATTTGTTTTGTTGACAAAACTAGAATGGATTAGATCCAACAAATCAAAATTTCCACCTGGGTCCAATGCTACTCTAGAGGCACCAAAAGAACTCTAATTTTTGTTTTACTCCTAATCTCTCGAGCCATCGTTAGTCATATCTATAATATTATTTTTAGAAATTTATCAAATGCTTGAAATATCAAATTATCAAATATTTGACATCTTGCTTAATTTTCACTATTCCAAATCATTTTCATTTGATTGATTTTTTAAATTGAATCAAAATAAATGATAAAATGTTAAATAGTACCGAGTAGGATATTTTTAATAAATTTCCACTTTTTTATAAAAAAAATTGATTGCAAAGCCTTATCCAAATCAATCCCCCAATATTAACTTTAGGTAGTCCATTATGGCCGAGATCGGTGGTTTTGAAGCTCAAAATCAATTTTTTTTGTTTTGAAAATTTTCATTAAAATACACCTAGACTACTCCATAGTTTACCCTTTTTCCCATAAACAATGATTTCAGTTGGAGCAGTTAAAAATAGGAAAAATATTTATTTGCTATTTTGAGTATATTTTGACAAATTTTATTTTTTAAAAAAATTGCTCCCAAGTTAATTTAAAATGTTTTGAAAAATTATGGTCACAAATGGTCTATAAAGTGTTTTAACGGGTTGCACAATTAAAATGTAGAATTACATATACACTTCAAAAATCCATCGCAAAAGGTTGTTTTAATGTATTTCAACCCTCTAATTGATTATCTCGACATCGAGATGTATGAATATAAAAAGAAAAAGATTTTGAATCTCGAAAATAGTACATCTTGTGACACATTATCTAGGCCATCCATTTTCAAGATTTTCATATATTTATAGATCTACTTGATTTTAACCATTTCTGGAGTTTAAAATTTTATAATTAGATATGAAAATAGATTTTCATTTAATCCTAAGAATTTTTAGCGCTGATTGGTTAAGGTTACCGATCCCCACAAACATTAAAAAAAAAAAAAAAGAAGAAAAGAAAAAAAAGAAAAGAAAACGGTCGGGGACAAGAAAGTTATAACAATAAAAGATAGGGACTTATCACTTGGCATCATACCATCCTACACTGTCTCCCTTACTTGGGTAAGTATTTCCCACTGTGTTTTTTTGGCTTGGGCAGTTACCCCTCTCTCTCTCTCTCTCTCTCCATCACAGAGACTCACCTCCCACGCGTTAAGGAGTCTCAAATCCCACGCGTTAAGGAGTCTCAAATCCCACGCGTTGGGTCACTCTCTTCTCCTTCCTGTTCACTCTCTCTCTTCCTCTCCATCTCTTTGTAGTTTCTAAGCTATTTTTTCTTCATCAACGAGTTTATATAAACCTTAATTCGAAAGTCCTTTTTCTCTCTCTCTGAGCTTCGAAAGTCGTTTGCCTCGTCTATGAATCCATAGACACTTTAATTTGAAAGTGCCTTATTTAGTAATTGGCTCCATGGGCAACTGCTTCGACAAGGGGGGGAGTGCACAAACGGCTCATAATTCAGGTTTGATTTAGAATTTCTCTTTGTTTCTATGTCTAGAAAGTTAAAGGGAAAATGGGTTTTTTTTTTTTAAACTGATCAGAACTACTTCTAGGAGTTTTTGTGGTCTGTTGGGTGCTTTATTCTGTGGGTTTCAACTGGTTTCCTAATAAGTTTGGGATTCTTTCTCTCTCTTAATTTATGTATCTCTGTGCAAATAAGAATAGATGGGATTTCACTCTGTATGATTCGATATTCCTAAATTTGGAAGTCTTTTTATAGCAAATGCAGCGATATTATTGTTGGGGGTCAGAGCCCAGGTAACCCAAAAATTGGGTAGCTATATTTACAAATAGAAGGAGAAAACATGGAATTTTGATCAAGAAATCAAAAAAAAAGGAAGAAGAAGAAGAAGAATGAAAGAAAACGGAATATTGGGTTTCTAAAATAAGTTAGTGCAATGAATTTCATGGAGTTTGGCTTCTTTAATGTAGGAATTTCAAGTGGGTTATGGGTAAAATTGAACCTCTCTCTCTGGGTTCGCCTGTGGATAGCCTCTATGGTTTAATTAGTGTAAACTGTACATGTCCATGATTCTCTGGAATTTCGGGACCTTCATATGAACAGTGTGTAATTCTTGTACTGTGATTATGATTTGACTCACGCTTATTTTCACCTTTACCTGAATAAATTCATAATTTTGTTTCTTACCATTGGGTTCTAATAAGTAACATGAGGCACCCAGTATTTGTTATGGCTTTCACTGAATTCTTTTAGAGAAAGTAATGCCCCATTTGTGGTCTTAACTCCAGTTATGGCACTCTATCTTTCTTACACATACACCCGAGAGAGAGAGAGAGAGAGAGAGAGAGAGAGAGATTATAGTAGGAAGCAAAGTACTCCGTTAGTCCATGAAAGAAGTCTTATTCAGGCAGGTTATAAACATTGCAGATCTTTCCCCTGTTTTCATATCAGTTGCATATGATTTCTTTAACTCAAAGAACTCCAATATTAAGAAATGACATGTTTAGGTTATATACATTGCTTATCCCACTTCTTGATTTTTCTTACAATCATAACATAGTTTTCATTGAGCCATACTCCTTTCAATGGAGTGCATTTACAAACTTCAACAACTCCAATCTCATTTCTTATTTCTTATTTTACCAGAGATTTCAAGGCCCTCAAACAGTAGTGCTTTAACCGTGCCCCCTTCTATGCAAACCAGCGGTTCTGACAGTGGAAAGAGTAACATAGAGAATCCCCCAACCCCCCGCACTGAAGGAGAGATACTATCGTCCCCAAATTTAAAGGCATTTACTTTTAATGAACTAAAAAATGCAACGAGAAACTTTCGTCCCGATAGCCTTATTGGTGAAGGCGGTTTTGGTTATGTGTTCAAAGGATGGATTGACCAGCAAAGTTTATCTGCTTCCAAGCCTGGATCAGGAATGGTGGTTGCAGTGAAGAAGCTTAAGCCGGAGGGCTACCAAGGCCATAAGGAATGGCTGGTGCGTTTTTTTTTAAAATTACTTGGGTGCTATTTTTATTGATTTTTTCTTAGTTTTCTTACTTGGGATCAAATATAGATATTGAGCAAGTTTTGTGGTTGATGGTTGTAGGCAGAGGTCAACTATCTCGGCCAGCTTCATCACCCTAATCTCGTGAAGCTCATTGGGTATTGTTTGGAAGGGGATAACAGATTATTAGTGTATGAATTCATGCCAAAAGGCAGTTTGGAGAATCATCTTTTCAGAAGTAAGTATGCGCATGTTCTATATTTTCCGATATGTTTTAAACAATTAAACCTTTCTAATATAGCTTTACTGATGAGCAAAAACAAATTGATGTCATGAACTTTTTATCAACTGATTTGTATTGGTACTCGCACCCCATTTGCTTTCAGTAATGCAATTGGAGATTCAGGTCAGAATGGAGAATGGATTGCTCTTCTTCATAGTCATTGAAAACCACATTGTAAAATATAATTCAATTAGAATAATAAAATAAGAAATTGATGAATCGATGTGAAATATATATATATATATATATTTTTTTTTTTGAATTGAATCGCTATGAAGTATATTTACATTTGCATCTTTTGATCTTCTCTATTTGTTTTCTTTTTTCTTTCCTGATCATTTAGTCAACAGTACAAGATCAAGGAAACCTTTTGACTTTTTTTCTTTTGTTGTAATGTCTTTGCTCCTATTTTCATGCTCGCATGACAACATTTCTTGTGACCCTTTACTCTGTTGCGACACCGAATTTTTCAATTAGCTGTCCAACCATTCTAACATCTAATAGCACCAATTGAAATATTATGACTGCTACGACTACCGCTACCGCTGCTGGTACCACTGCTGCTACGACTATTCCTGCATCCAGTACTACCACAACTGTCACTACGGATACACTTCTCTTAATGCTATTCTAACCACTAGTACCTTTGCTACTAGCACTAATACAATTCTTTCTTCTGCACTATTGCAACTGCCTCTGCTTCTGCTTCTGCTACTACTACCGCTGCTGCTGCTGCTACTAGTACCATTGTCATGACAACTGCCACTGCTATTATGATTACGATGACCGCTACTACTACCACTACCTCCAGTACTACTACCACTATGACTGTTGTACATCAACTGCAGCTACTACAGCTACCGTGACTACTACGGCACTACCACCATCACTACTACTAATGTTCCTGTTATTTTTGTAGACAGTTACTAACACTGCTACTTCTAATGTTGTTCTTTGTTGGTACCGCTACTACCACTGCTGCTAATGCTGCTATAACTAATGTTGTTGTTGCCGCTGCTACTCCGGCTACGACAATAACCGCTACCACTACCACCAGTCCTGTGAACTATAGATGATATCATAATATAAAGTCCTTTTATTTACGGATCATGAACGCTAGGGCCTCAGAAATATACCACCTGCTTTTGGAGCAGCTACAGAACTATTTTGGTAAATTCATCATCATCATCATCATAGCCTTTTCCCAATTAATTGGGGTCGGCTATACCAATCCGGGTCCGTCATTCTACTCTATTAAATGCCATACCCTTAGTGATGTCATAAGTCCCCATAGCTTTTCGGACTACTTCAAACCACGTTCTTTTGGGCCTTCCCAACTATTTTGGTAAATTCTTGAACTATATTCCCCTACACAAACAAGGTTCTCTATTATAACTATTTTGAACTTGAATCAAGTTTGGTTTCCAGAAACAAATAACGACAATATAGGTAACTTCATTCCTCATGCCTAATCTTGTTTTACTCAGGGTGACTTTAAATACCAAACAGACCATGTAGCAAGACCCCTTGGGGTTCCGCAGAATGTCCTTGCCAGCAGAGTCATATAGTCGCCATTCATGAAGATTAGATCTGTTTTAGTTGATGACTTACTAACTCATCTCTCTCTCTCTCTCTCTCTCTCTCTCTCTCTCTCTCTCTCGCTCCCCCTTGTTCTTTATGATGAAGTTTGATCTTTTCATGTTGTTAAAATGGGTTTCGAAATGGAAAACACATAGTAGTTCAACAGAAAACACATATTTAACGGATTATTTTCTTTTGTAATCACGTTTCTTTCTCATATCATTAAAGATCCACCAATTCTACTTGCATATTTGTATGCCCACTTCTAGTATGGATCCTTCAAGTCTTTGTCTCTTACAGGGGGGCCGCAGCCTCTCTCTTGGGCTATACGCATTAAAGTCGCTGTGGGAGCTGCTCGGGGACTTGCATTTTTGCACAATTCTCCCACCCAAGTCATATATCGGGATTTTAAGGCCTCAAATATTCTTTTGGATACCGTATGTCAAATGAAATGGGTCTCCTTAGCTTCAAATATTATGATAATATACATTTTTTTCAATTTGATTTTCAAACTTATGTGAGTATTCTTTGAGTCAGGATTTCAATTCAAAGCTATCGGACTTTGGATTGGCTAAGGATGGGCCTACTGGCGATAATACACATGTATCAACTCAGGTTGTTGGTACTTATGGCTATGCAGCTCCAGAATATGTTGCTACAGGTGTGTTACTTTTCTATATTAGGGACTCCTTTGTGTGGTTATTTGATGTATGGGCCTTGTATTTGATTTTCTTCTTTACTTTTCCATTCTTTTAGTATATTGAAGGCACATTGGTGCTTTCTGTGAGGAGAGCTTTGATATCTATGAAAGCGGATGTAATTTATATCATAATTCAATGGACTTGAAAATTCGCAGTGCATTGAATTATCAGTCCATAGAAATGGTGGATGGTGATGAAGAGTGAGTGAAACCCACCACATCAGGATATGCAACCAATATTGGGTCACACCATCTCTTCATTGTTGTGCATAATTTGGAATGCATCCATGTATTGGTGTTTTAAGTATGTCCATGGATCCATAACTGCGCCCACATGTCAACTTATGTTATTTAGAATGGCTAGTTTCCTCTTGAACTCTCTTCTGTCAAAAAACCTTATTTTGGATTTGTGTATAAAGTTCAGCAAGCACTTTCTTCCCTGTCGTATCCTTTCTCTTATTTTGGTCCATCACTTTCTGTAGTACTTTCTAGGTCTGGCAACATACTGGGAGACCCAACCTGGGAAGAACTTGCCCAGGCCATGTTATGGGGTCTGAGAGCACTGCATCCCTGGCCTGGATGTTTAATAGGACTAGTCTCAGACTATGCATCCATGCCATGGCCCAGCCCAACTTGTGGCCCTTATTTGTGGCAATGGGACAAGCTGGTGCCTCACCCGGGCATGCTATGACCAGCCTGGTACTGGTCCTAATTTTCTTAAACATCAATGGGAGAATGCCAGTTTAGATGATGTCTCACTTCCACCAAATGACCAAAACACCTGATAGTATGAAACTCATAAGTGTCTTTATTTCATAATTGGAAGTGCCAAGATATATGAATCTCTCTCTCTCTCTCTTTCATTCTCTCTTTCTCTCTCTCTCTCTACTGAAATCTTGACTTTTGTCAAAACCAGGCCGTCTGACCACAAGGAGTGACGTGTACAGCTTTGGGGTCGTACTACTTGAGCTACTCACTGGGCGACGAGCCCTTGACAAGTTAAAACCCGGGATTGAGCAAAACTTAGTCGATTGGGCTGGCCCCCAACTTAATGACAGGCGGAAGATCTTTCGAATTATGGATACAAGGCTTGAGGGCCAATACTCACAAAAGGGTGCCCTTGCAGCAGCTACCCTTGCTCTCCGATGCCTCAATTCTGATGCCAAGAGCCGACCCCTTATGGCTGAGGTCCTTGATACTCTTGAACAAATCCAACAATCTTCATCGAAGGATAGCTCAAAGCCCAAGCAACCATCAAACCATCATGGTCAAAGGACACGGAACCCCCATCCACCTTCACCTAGCCCACGTAGGTCGCCTCTCCCAGCCCACCGGTTGCCCACGCGAGTGGGGTGAGGTTGGGTGGTTCAGATTCTTGTGCCCTCTTTTATCTTGTATATTTTTTGAGTTGTAATGGTATTCAATGCACACAACGAAGTTTCCTAATAATGGAGAGTGGAGGAACGACACATCTGGCCTGTCCATTATTTATCGAGTGATGGCTAGGATGATATTGAAGCACCGTAGAAAATTTCAGTGTGCGCATTGTGGGCGAAACTGTTTGACTTTTTGTTCCATTTTTTAGGATGGGATTCGTCCTATTGTTGGAGAGTTTTTTGATCTACATGTATATTGCAATGTGTTTCAGAAGGTGTTTCGGGATCTTGGTTTCTTTCTTGTTTACCTTTCATGGATTTGTGTGTTTCAGCTGTTTTGGAATGTTGATTTCTTTATGGTTTGGCTTTCATGGAAGGTGTTTTGGGATCTTGATTTCTTTCTTGTTTTCCATTGGGTCTGCCATTTTTTCTCGAAAATTTCTCTCAAATTTGGGCTGCCTTTCAAGCTTTGTATTCAAATGGTATCTCCTGTGGATCTGTGTGAAGCTGGTTTTAGTTATATGGAGTTCTCCTTATGAGAAACACCTCATCTAACGTGCTTCCATGCACTTTGGTTGGTGGGAAAATGGAGATGTGCATAGAACCAAGGAAGATCATAGACTTTTGAACAATCAAGAGGGAGAGAATGTCATAGAAATTGTGAAATCATCATGATCAGAGTGCCCAGCTTATCAAGAAGGTGATTATTTTAAACAAATCATTTCATTCAACATAAAATTTCTTAAACTTTGTGATACATCCAACTTATCAAATTTCACAACAGATGGTTGTAAGTAATTATGATTTTTTTGTATCAAAAGTAAATGATTTTATTGTATACACTTTTTTTTTTAATGCTCAAAATAAAGTTGTTGGGCTCAAGCCAGATGATGTTCCATTTTCCAAAGTTAGAACGTCTCCCATACCTTGTATGATGGTTTGGAATCTAGAACAAGTTGGGATAATTATGTCATTTTACTTCATTGATGCAGTTTGTGTTAGTTGACGACACTGTCTTGGGTTTTAAAATCTAGAATAGGTGGTTTTCCAGAACAATTCAAAAGCATTTTAGTAGTTTAGCCCTACTTGTGGGATAGCTAAATTATGAGCCTGCTTGGTTTGCCATATTCATGGTCTTAAAACTATTTTGAGTGTCATATTTCTTTTTAAACGTATGTTGTTGATTCTGCTTTCAGATTGTACACGGTATCTTTATCAAAAAAATATCCTACTAATAATAATGAGAAGCCTCAAAGTGAGACGATAAAATCATCTTACCAAGATATTAGTAGAGCTATTATCAGCACCAAAGTTTGCCATGACAAGATATAAATAACATAAATTTACGTGAATTTGTCAAAATATGTCATTAATTATTTGACAATTTATCCCTTTTCAACTATTCTAATTCATAATCACATGACTTTTGACAAGATTTATGAACTTAATTAAAAAAATAAATATCAAATAGTTTTCTCATTAAATCTCTGAAAATTTACTAAGTATATAATTAAAAAAATGATAAAAAGTTACAACCTTAAAATGTAGAATTAAAGTGCACCTTAAATTTCTGAAATTTTACTAAGTGTATAATTAAAAAAATGATATAAGGTTGCAACTTTAAAATATAGAATTAAAGTTCACCTCAAAAATCCATTATAAAATGTTGTTTTGATATTGGAAAACCTTCTAATTGATCATTTCAACATTAAGATGTATGATCATGGAAAGAAGAAAATATTTAGACACCCAAAAAAAGTGTATCTTGCGACACATTGTCTGGACAATCAATTTTCAAGAATTTTATGTGTTTATAAATGTACTTGAGTTAAATCGTTTTTAGTGTTTAAAATTTTATATAATTAAATATGAAAATAGATTCTTAAACTGTCCTAAGAATTTTCGTTTTTAGAGTTTAATAAATTTTTTAGTTTTACATGCTATGCAAAACAATGTAATAAAGGATGAGGGATATTTTCGTCATCGTCCACTAAGTCGAGGGTCATTTTGCAATTTAGAGAAAACTAGATATTGAGTTTCAGGTTCCGCTCTAAATAATCTAACCGGGAGCTCTCTCTCTCTCACTCTCTCTTCCCTGCAAAATATTTCACTTCCATATTCAATTGCCTTAACTAGGGTTTTCTCTCTCTACATTTCCATCCAAGTTATCCCCTCCTCCTGCAATTACTGTATTAAACTTGGGGCTCTCTCCCTCTACATTCGAGCTCCATCAACAATTACAGGTATGGATCATGAAACCCTAGTTTCCAATGTTTCTCTGGCTGCTTATAAAACCCTATATTGAAAGTAATTTTCATTTACTCTGAGTTGAAAACCCTAAATTTCTTTCTGAGTAACAACTTGTTATTATCTGGTAAAGTGAGCTTCTCGAACTGAATCGTCGAATTTAGCGCTTGCCCTGATTCTCAGTACGATAAAAATCGTCTACATTCTTTTTGGTGATCATTTTACCTTTTTTTTGGCAGAATTTGAAGATGATTGGGGTTTGAGGTGATTTGATCACAGAAACGATGGTTTTGGTCTTAGCGCTAGGTGATCTTCATATTCCTCATAGGGCACCTGATTTGCCTGCAAAATTCAAGTCTATGCTCGTTCCTGGGAAAATACAGCACATAATTAGCCCTGGAAACCTCTGCATCAAGGTCAAACCTCTTTCGCATTTTCAGTTTTTTACTTCTCAATCACACATTCAGATTTATTTTTTTCATTGATTCCCATGCTTTCGTTATGGGTTTAAATTCTTCATTTTTAGCTCATGCGCCTGTTGAATATGCTTATGTTTTCTTCTTGTTTCCTTTAAGATCTTCAGTTTTATTTGGGAATTAGTCTTTAGATAGAAATACTTGTCTGTAATTGGTGTCTTCTGAATTTATGATTATTCCATTTTTTGAATTATCAAGCTATGTTTGACAACCACCACATTAGAAGAGGAAAGTAGGAAATTGTACATTAATAACTCAAAAGAACTCATGTAGATTTCCTGAATTTCCCTTGTTGGTTGCTGTCAAGGAACTCGAAAGCTAAATTATATAAGAAATAATTCAATCTATATAACAACTTTTGTGAGTTTCATACTGTGTAATTTTTTTGGCATTTCATCTCGTGTTAAACTTGCATTACTTTAAAAAGCTTTTTATTTTTGTTTTTGTTTTTGAGTTAGCTGAAGAGCAGTACTATAACATGAGGCCAAGTCTTCTTCATCATACCCTTATTTTAAATTTATTCATGTTTAGTTTTAGGCTATGGGTGCTTTTTTATTATTTTTCTAGTTTGGCATTTTGTCAAGAAAGAAAGATTGGCAAGATCACTTTCAAGAATTTAAGATTGTCGACGAGTGAGATTTTAGTGACAGTAGATCTATATCAGAGGTCAGTGTTGAGCCCATACCTCTTTGTCTTAGTTATAGACGACTTAATTAGGCACTTTCAAGAAGAGGTCTTGTGGTCTATGTTGTTTGCAGATGCAATAGTTATTGATTGATGAGACCTGAAGCCGCGTCAACACAAAGTTAGAACTTTGGAGGGATGCTCTACAATAAAGGTTTTAAAATTAGCCGGACTAAGACAGGGCGTATGGAATGCAAGGTTAATAGTATTAGGAGTAGAAATGAGGAAGTAGTTGAGAAGGACAACTAAGAAATACCAAAAAGAGCGCACTTTCAATATCTTGGGTCGATAATTCAGGAAAATGGAGAGATTGAGGAAGATGTCGCGCATAGAATTAGAGTTGGGTGGGCAAAATGGAGATGTGCAATCGGAGGTTTATGTGATTACCGCATACTAATAAAGCTGAAGGGGAAGTTCCATAGGACAACTGAGAGACCAGCTATACTTTATGAGAATATTGAGCTGTCAAGAAACAACATATTCATAGGATGAGTATAGAGATGATGATGTTGAGATGCATGAGTGGCAAGACGAGAAGAGATAGAATTCGAAATGAATACATTCAGGAGAACTTAGGTGTGACTCCAATAAGTGATAAGATGAAAGAAAGTAGACTTAGCTAGGCTGGCCATGTGCAATGCAATCTTAGTACGGCACCTGTTAGGAGGTGCAAGTTGGTTCAAGTGGAAGGCTAAAAAAGGGTAAGGGGTAGGCCCAAAAGGACATAGTTCAAAGTAGTAAGAAAATATATGGGGATTTATAGCATCACTAAAGGTATGACCCTTGATAGAGCAGAATAGTGGACTTTAGTATTCATGTAGCTGACCCCAAATAGTTGGGAAAAGGCTCTAATGATGATGATAATATTGTTGGTTGTGATTTCAAATAAAAAGTCTACTCTTGTGGATGAATGGTAACAATAGTTCAGCAATCTGCTTTCTGAGAACCTTGTATAGATTTGATAGTCTTTTCATTTGGCATTGGCTTTAATTGAAATGTGAGTTTTAGTCGTTTGTTTGTAAAGAATGCTTCACTATGGGTCCTTAAATGCCTCTAATTCATAGTACATTCTAAGATTTAAAGGAAAAATTTCATGTTATTACCCCTCCTACAATATTTCTAAGTGTCGTTGTTTTCTTTAATACAAAGGAAAAGGGTGTCTTTGCTTCTTCTTTAAGTCTCAGAGCATTGTGAATGTTAAACGTCTATTTGTAATACTTTTTGTCATGTGCCTTTGCATGTGTAGGAAGTTCATGATTACTTAAAGAGCCTTTGCCCGGACCTGCACATCACTCGAGGTGAATATGATGAGGATGCTCGCTACCCAGAGACCAAGACACTGACAATCGGTCAGTTCAAACTTGGACTTTGCCATGGGCATCAGGTTTGCTTAATCTCATCTTCTCTTTCTTAGGCATCATGCAATTTCACTGAAAATCTTGCAGTGCTAGTCCTTGTGTATTTCAATTACAAATTACTTAGAAAGATGGTGATAGTTATCTGTCACTTTTAACAGTAGTGCTATAACCTTTTGAAATAGGCTTGTTCCAAGTCATCTAGCTCATCTGAATATGACTAACTTAGCTGACTATCCCATTCATGTGACTGAGTCCATAACTTTCTCAATTTTCACTGCTCTAAAAGGAATTGATTAGCTGACTTTTGTGAATTTTATATGGATGGTTTCAACAGAGGATGTAAACCTTGTACTTACATTATAGGTTATGAACCCACAATATCTTTAGTAAGTCTGAGCATTTTCAATATTTATGTATTATAATCTCACCATAGTTCTGGCATCTAATTTTAGGGTTTATTGCCATCCTTAGTGTTAGATTTGCAAAGAATACGTTGCTACTCCATAATTAGACTATGATAATAAATTACTATGCTAACCTTGGACTGGCATCAAGACCTTTACTTTCATGTAAAAGGTGTTATATTTTCATTTGTTTTGAGAATTTATATTTTCATTTATCTTACCTATAATTGTTGTCTATAAATTGCACCAGCGAGGTGATACTTTGATGCATGTGATGACAGCATGATGCTCAACCTTAAGCATGTGTCTTTCATACTTCTGACTGGTTTCTTGTAGAGGTGGGCAAGTTACCTAATGGCATTCATGTCATGCCAACTCGAGGTCAGTGCCTTATTGGCCATTTACCCTGTTCGTTGTAACAGGAATGAGCTAGTTCATGAATTACCTGCCAAGTGCTCACTGATAGAGAAGTCGGCAAGCTAAATCTAAAAAAATAGCCTCAGACTCACATAGGCTAGTATTTGGCAATTTTTCAGTTTTTATAACCCTGAGAATGGGGGGTTCAATGAGTCTTTAGTAACTTTGATCATTAACTGCATACATTCTCTTGAAAAGGGTTAAATATCTTATAACAATTTATTACTGGATTTTAGGCTGGATAGTTTTTAAAATTTTATGTTTTTAAAATTTTATTCTTAAGATTTGGCTCCCTTTTAAGGATGCTTTCTTTTTAGAAAGGAAATTATAGTGTATAATATTGTATTAGTACAAGGATTCAAATTGTTAAATCATCCTTTGCATATTACTTGCTTTTACTTTTTGTTAGGAAAAAACATGGTACTATTGTTTGGACTTAGGAGTTTACCGTTCTTGTTAATTTTTAGGAAAAGCACTCAATTTTCATGGTTTTTTCTTCATATGAAAGAGAAATCTTGGGCTCCTTTTGTGGCTTTTCCTGTCTCAATGCTCTTCCAGAAAGCTATCACTATTTACATGCCTTATACTTGTCTCTTTATAATATATATTTATCTAACTAACATTATTCCAAGTTTTTCCGAGTTCAATCAAATTTTCACTTTGAGAATTTTCTGGTTTTTAGGCTAATTTTTTCTCAATTTTTTGCCAATCTTTTGTTAACTTTTGAGAAAGTTAAAGTTCCAGTTTTTATCTTCCAAATTATTGATTATGTTTATGTGGCTACGGTGCTATTAAGAGTGCAGCTATATTAATGTTGATAAGGTTATTATAAACAAGACATTGGACAGAGATGTTCCTCGAGTGTTGCTTACTTCCTCTTGGATTGTAAAATCAAACTAACATTGCTGTACAACATGTCTCTTTCTTGTGCCATGTCATATGTCAGGTTATCTTCTTCTTCTTCTTTTTCTTCTTTTTCTTTTTTTCTTTTTTCTTTTTATTCTAATTGATATGTCATGTGGTCCTTTTGTTGCATCATGTTGTTACTAGGGATTTTGGATGTGTTTCAAGGGTAGTTTGACACATTTCTAATCTCAAATTCTTTCCTGACATAAGGGAGATTGGGTTTGTGTTTTATCTCCTTATCGTTCTCGACAACTTGTATTTAAACATGTAACCATGGGTGAACACCTCTCTAATCTCTTGGAAATGGAGGCTGTTTTTTCTCTTCTATTATCTTCATAGGAATTTTAATGTTTTAATTTTCATGGTCTGTTTAGTTAGCATGCATAGTTTAGACATATCTGGAGTAATTCTCCAGAAGCGTCCCTGTTTTGTGTATTTTCCTTACTACATAACAAAGGAAAGCTTTCCATTGTCCAACGAACTACAGTATATTCACCATTTGTTCCTACTAATGATGGTTGGAGATTATGTTGGGTAGGGTCCATAAGGACATTCACCCAGGCACAATAAGTCTCTTACCATCCTTCAGTTGGAACTGACTGGCTATGGCCTTGGAGTACCAATTAATGTATCGGCAGTCGACTGGACTATGGTATTATTCCGAAAACAAAATTTCATGGCCTTTTTTCCCTGCTGTTCTTTCTGATCTTTTATAGTTTAGTTGCTGTTTACTGAGACACCTTGTTTGACAATTTTTCGAAGGTTATTCCATGGGGAGACCTAGACTCCTTAGCCATGCTCCAAAGACAGCTGGATGTTGATATCCTAGTTACTGGTCATACTCATCAATTCAAGGCTTACAAGCATGAGGGAGGAGTAGTTATAAATCCGGGTTCAGCTACTGGGGCTTATAGCTCAATTACATATGATGTGAACCCCAGCTTTGTTCTCATGGATATCGATGGCCTTAGGGTTGTGGTGTATGTTTATGAACTCATTGACGGAGAAGTTAAGGTTGACAAGATTGATTTCAAGAAGACAGCAACCACCCATTAACTCGATTAAAAATACTTATCAAGCACATTCCAATTCTCTGACATTTGTGAGTGCTCTGGTTATTGAGAATTAGCAGTCAACATGGTGTCCACCATTTCTCTTTTCTTTTTTTCTTTTTTTCTTTTTTCTTTTTGCTTGTGGAACTTTACCTCTTGGTGTGGTCAGGTAGTACAGTTTGTGTTGGTTTATATTTCAAGTTTGAAAAGAAAAGGAAACTGTATTTTTGTGGTTGTGTTTCTTGAAACATTCTATGTGGAAATACTTGGAAATGAAAGGATACAAGAAATGCTTTGGCCATAATCTGGGAATTCTGCAATGATGGTGATAGTTGGAGTTAGCTTAACTCTTTTTTTGAGTTGACAGGAAATCGATCTAGACATGAAGGAAGAAATCACAGTTCAAATTGAAGAAAATGGCAATTAGAATCTGTAGCTAGTACAATATTAGAATGCTGGCAAAGCCTGTATACAATACTTCAACAAAAAAATAGCTAGAAACAGTTCTCTTGGATTGTAACAACTGAGAAAAATTTTCTTCTTCGGTAAGTTCCTGAGATATTACAGGTTTCCAACAATTCCATAAGGGGAAAGTATACACTGCTGTGTGCCTGTATGATATACTATACACATGTCAACAGTGTGCCACCATATGTACCCTAATCTGCCATCCATCATTGGCGATGGAAGGCAGAGATGATTTGCACCTTCCCTTGATGACTGATATTGCGCTTCCAGCAAAGGTGAAGATCATCTCAACTCTGTCCTTGATGAGAGATGGTGGATGGTGGGGTCAGTATGCTATGCTATTTGTAGCCTTCCTAGTGCATTTTGTATAGTGGTAAAATTAATGCTTGAATAATCATTTAAAACCTGAGTGGTTTTTAAGCATGCAGTAAAAATATAGATTGAATATGTCGAGGAGTTGAATATGGTGCATTTATGGTGCTGAGAAATTGAAACATAGATGAGACACTATGTTGCCAAGTCGGTTCATTCTTGCGAAGTTTCATGGGTCGACTTGTGTTGTACCTGGACACTTTTTCAATGCTTCGATACACAGGAATATCCAATAAATACATAAAAGCACAATGGTGGGGTTTGAACTCAAGACTCCTCTGCTGCGTTTCTGTGGTATGCTACTATGTCTAACCTCCTTAAAGCATAATACGAACCATTTGTTATATTATTATACATCTAACAAAAGTTTATTTCTTAATAAAAGAATAGTTTTGCAGATGTGTCTTACAATATTGGCTTTTCTCTACCGAAGTTCTAGACATTTTTATACATCATCGTCATTGGGTTGACTACATAAATCTTGGTCCGTCATTTTGCTCCATCAATGATCAAAACTTCAGTGAGGCCACAAGTCTCAAAGTTTTACGTTGGTTGCCTAACTAACACAATCCACCTTTTTCACTTGGGCTTGAGATAAGTTAAAGAAAAGTTTAAAGTCCCCACCCTTATTAGACCAAGACACTTAATACACATCGGATATATACACCAACATAGGGATGAGGCAAAGAATGGAGTGCTTTTTTAATTTTTTTTTGGAGCAATGAGCACAAAGAAATATTGGCCTGGGATTTGGAAAGAAGCAATAATGTAGTCAGGTAATTGATAAGAATTTCTCATCCCCTAATATTTAGTAATTCACAATGGAATCAATGAATTTAGGGAAATTTTGACGTGGGATTTTGAAATAAACAATAATGTAGTCATATAATTGAGGAGAAATTAATTCCTGAGATGTAGTCCTTCAAATCTATAGCATATGGGATCAAATCTCATTCTATCGGTGATAATTAATTAAAAGAACCACAGAGAGAAATAACTGAAATAAAAATATGAGTTTAGAAATGATGTCACGTAATAAGCAAGGAAATACTTCAGCAGGACATATTTTATTGTTGAAAAAGAAGAGGAAGCATAGATGTGAAAACCAGGGAACTATGATACAATCAAACATGAGTGGGGCTTTCATAAGAAGCTTAAAGTCGCTCAAAGAAACCAACCAGCTTACCAGTCTATGTAAGATTGAATTTGCCAAAATTGGGAAATTTTGAAGACCATTGCACCTGTCCAAAGAAAAAGAAAAAACAAATAATTGTATGGAAGGAAAGTATGTAATATGACGGTTTACTTTTGGTATAGAAAAGTTGCAATCATCCCTAATCATTAGAAGTGACATTGGACAGCTAGGAGTTCGTCTTTGGTTGAGTCTTGAGTAAATTTTGCTCAGACTTTGTTCCAGTAAATGATACACCCTAGCCATCCGATTTTATATTTAAGAGCTTGATGTGCTTGAAAATTAGCCAATTCATTGTATACAATCCCAAACATAAACTGAAACTTATCGGTAACCATCTCCAAAGATAATAGAGCAAAACGAACAACAAAAGTTCAGCACTAGAAGGAAAACTGAAATTTTATTGGAAGGAAAAGAGACAAAAGGCACATCTCATGGCAAGCCTTAATGGCTCCTCTAGTTTCCGGATGGAAGCACTATCTCTTCCAAGGCGATGACGACAATTTCCATGGTGGGGCGTTTATCAGGTTCTTCATGGACGCAATGAATGGCCACTGTGGCTAATCTATAGGCCTCTTTCTCCGGGAATTTGTCCTTAAGCCTTGGGTCCATGATCCTGTTGAGCTTCTTGTTTCTCTTCAATTCACTCTTGGTCCACTCCACTAGGTATGTCTCCTTTCTCTCAGCAACATGGGCAAGTTGTCCTGTGAGGAGCTCGAGCAACATCACGCCAAAGCTGTACACATCACACCTATGGGACAGGTGACCTATCTTGCCAAATCATGAGATTTGTTAGAAACTTGCTGAAAGAATTATCAGCAGATGAGTACAATTTATCATTGTTTCACTGTCACAAGTTAAATCCTACTGCTGAACTGCCCAAAAAAATAATTATGATTATTAAATATTGACGTGTATGTGTGTGAAAGAGCTGTGTGCACACTTGATCAACTATGAAAATTCTAAAGTTATTCAGTAGCATTATATATAGGGATCATATACAATCAGTGCATTATTTTTCCTAAAATAATATGCTCCCTCCTGGTCGTCAGATGAGGGAAGCAACAGCCGGGGTGTGTTGTTCTAATGGTCAAAGTGAAGTCGAGCGGAGGGACCACACATACCAGTCGTTGATTTGTACATCTGAAGGTTTGGGAGGGTATGGTGCACTGTCTTAATAATGTAGTGCACTCATGGTGTGTTTTCCCATAGAATTAACGGGTATGCTATAACCAGTGGATTATGACAATAGCGCATTGGGTGTTGGGGAAAGAGAATGGGACCTCCATTAAGGTTATGTCCTGTGTAATGGATCCCAGTGTTTACAAACATGGGCTTAGGCTGGGACTTCCTAGGTCCCGAGCTGGGATCACCTATTCCAACTCAGGGCGAGTCCCGATTCTAACCAGGTTTTTTTTACAATAAATTATTACTTTCTTAAAAAATAGGAGACTTGGGGTGAGTCCCAAAGTTTTGCCTGAGGACTCGCCAGGACATCAAAGCCAAGCCAAGTCTCCAACTTTTTTAATGTTGTTGGGTCCCAATAGATTATTACTAGGCCTTTGAATCACTAAAGATGCTTCCTTTCATCCATTACAAGAGAAAGGAATAATAAGTGAAGAGAGACAAACTATGAATCTTTTTCCCATGCATCAATCGCCCTGCAAATGAAACTGCAGCATTGAAAAGAAGCATACCATTCAAATGGTATTCTGGAGCTGCGTAACCCAGAGTTCCAATAGCTCGGGTTGAGACATGTGTTCTATCACTTGCAGGCCCATCCCTTGCCCATCCAAAATCCGATAGCTTTGCATTGAAGTTCTGATTCAAAAACCAAAAGAAGTATTCATCAACCCTATCTGAAAAGTCAGCTATTTATATAGAGATGAAATATGAAGGTCGAAGTATTTAAAGATGAAGCTACTGATGAAATGACATTGTTTTTTTCTCTGTTTGATAACTCACTCCATCTAAAAGAATGTTAGCAGACTTGAAATCCCGAAACACAATGTTCTTCGTAGGCTCATGCATGTAATTGAGTCCCCTAGCAGCTCCAAGAGCGATTTTGAGGCGTATATTCCAAGGGAGAGTTCCCAGTTGAACTGCAAGACATAGCAGACTTCAATAACTCAAAGATCTTATCAAAAAATGTGTTTGATGATCTCTCTCTTATTACCATGATGTTGAGAACCATGGACATGCTTACTTTTGAAAAGGTGATCATGCAAACTGCCATTAGACATGAATTCATATACTAAGAGCATCTTATGGCCCTCCGAACAGTATCCGATAAGCCTTATCAGATTCTTGTGATGAAGTCGACTGAGAAAGTCAAGCTCATTCTGCAACCATTAAGAACAAAACTGGTTAATTTTCTCAATAGTTACTTCACTAACAAAAAGGTACATGAAAAGTAACAGGAAACAAAAATAGAAGAAGCATCGAGACCTACATGCCACTGCTCCTCGCCCATTGCCAAATACACACTGAGGTTCTTCACAGCAATTGGCTGGCCATTGATCCATCCCTTATAAACACTTCCAAATCCACCTTGACCAAGAAAGTTTTTAGAATCAAAGTCTACAGTGGCTCTTTTGAGTTGGTCATAAGTAAATTGCAGTAAGTTGCAGTGTGCTAGTATTTCGCCCTCAGGACGGGGAGGAGGAAGACTTGGTATGAAAGGAAAACCCTCTAGTAAGAGAAAGGAAACAATGTTAATATTGAAAGGGAACAATGTTGATACCGATGGAGTTAATTTATGGCACTAAAAACCAGAAATAGGCCATTAAAACAGAGTGAAAGTTATGAAACTTGAGGGCATGCCGAGTACTAAGATAAGGATAATGTTCTATAGATAGGAGAAACAAGGTCTTCTCTCTCTAAAACAAACAAAGATCCAACAATGTCACTATGATGGGTTAATCTCCCACTCTTTTGAGTGGGCAAGCTCAAGTTAGGACCATCCTTTGCAATAGCCTAGACTGGTTTCATGCATGAGCTGCAGATCCATGTATAACCTGCTCCAGTGATATCAAAACACAGACTTGGGGTCAAAGCCTAAGTCCCTACAGTCCAGCTCGGGCATGTCCCGGTCGGACTAAATTATTGTTTTAAGAGAAATTGAAATCACATGAAAAATTCTGCGCACTTGGGTGCTCTGGGTTTCTTGGCCGGAAATGCCCTGGCTACCAACCTGAAGCCGACTCAGGCAATCGAGGTCGGAGCCATAATTTTTAGATCTTTGACACACATGGTCATATTCACAACATGAACATGAGGCTATCACCATCTCATCAATGGGTTGGAAGGTGTGATAAACCACATTGCCATTGTTATTATTATGACCATATAGATCATACTTTATTTTTTTTCTCTCAGGAAAAAGTTTCTATAAAATTGCAAATTTATACAATTGAAGTAAGGTGCACCTCAAAAATTCCTCTAGAAGAGTGCGTCCCAATGTTAGAGAACCCTCTAATTGATCATATCAATATCAAGATGTACGGGAATGAAGGGAAAAAGGAATTTCAAACCCTCAAGATAGTGCATCGTGTAACAAATTATCTAAACCTTCTTTTTTCAAGATTTTCAAATGTTTATAGATCAGTAAGATCTGTACCATTTTTAAAATTTTAAATTTTATAACAAAGAATAAAATTATATTTTGAAGCCATCATAAGGTCTGATTATTCTTTACACTTTGTCTCTAACTCCATTCTCACTAAAAGGATAGGGTCCCAAATCCCACTGACTTACCCTTTTTGGACTTACCCAAAAAAAAAAGAATTACATCTCAAAAAAAAATTTAGAGATAAGCCTTACTTCTATACAAACCTCACCCAAAAATAAATAGATAAATAATAAGAAAAGGAAGCATGAATAGCACAATAATGTAAGGTTCCAAACACTCAAATTGCATCTCCAAACAAATTTTAGAGGTAAGCCTTACTTCTAGAGTGTAAGGACAACGCCTTATACAAACCTCACGCAAAAATAAATAAATAAATAATAAGAAAAGGAAGCAAGAATTTTGTGTCTTTTTGGTTTTCAATTTAATATAAAAACTACTCTTTTTTTCATTTTTTTGCTTGTTACTGTGGAAATTTTTCTAACTTAAAATATTCTTTACATATGAGCAACACATATTTTATTCATAGATTTTGCCATTTCTATATCATATCTCTAACCCCTTGATATAAAAATAAATAAATACAAAAAAATATATATTTTTTGTTAGTAAGCCTTCTTTTCTAAGAATTTGTCACAAGTATCATTATCTATGTATAACTGAGGCATTTTTCTTTCTTTTTTTTTTCTTTTTTTTTTTTTCCTGTTTTAGCCATTTTCATCGATTCACCATTCACAGCCAGACCATCCAAATACTAGAAAAAGGACAAGAAGAGAAATCATAGAAGATAGTGCCTTTCATCATATATATCACTAAATTCACATTTCAGCAATAAAACATAATAAGGTACACAAAATAAAACAAAAAATTCAAGAACAAAAGACATACCTGAACTTTTTGAAGCTGTTATTGAACCTTCAGGATTGCTAAAGCAAACACCCATGGCGCCAAAGCATAAAAGAGGCCTTTAGGTGAAAAAAATCTTTATATTAATTAACAAAGTAAATAGGCAAAGGTCCAACTCCAAAGAGTATGCTTACTCTCAATGCAAAGAAAATTAAAAAGAAAATGAAGCATATACAAACATGGATGTTAACCATGAACTGATGAAAATGACAGAGAAAATCTGTTTAATCATATATATACAGGATATACAAGAGAAATTGAAATATAAAAAAAACAAGCAATTTAACTATCTAGATCTTGTGCTTCTTCGAAATATTAAAACCTAAATACACTTTTTCAAACACTTAAAATATGAGTAGCTCTTGATAAAGAAAAGGTTAATTGTTAAATAGTTTAGAGATGACACAGGCCCTTTTTAATGCCCCAAATTAAAAATGGTTACTAAAAATAAAAAAGGTGAGTTATTAGCATCTTAGGGCGTGACCTGGTTGCTGAGAAATAATTTGCATTTTAAGGAAATTTTATGATTATTAAAACTTCATAACGATTTGATTTTCATGTTGGGTTATTTTCTCTTGGCTACATGGAAATCAGAAGTAATATTAAGGTTGGAATTTAACTTCAAATTTAGAATAAATTGGTTGGATGATCCCAAAGGAATAATATTGAGGTTTGAATATTTTAAAATGAAGTGGTTGATTGTGAACGTGTGTTTCTACGATGATCTCCTAGAACCTCCCAGAAACTAGGGATTTTTTCACCTGGTTTAGAAGATAAGATTTTATTGTTAATATCTTCAATTTGAATTTAATTTTAAATTGTCTGAATTAAAATATACGAAATTGAAGCAATTAGAAGGTGACGCTACTAAGCAATGTCCAAAAACTTGGACCGGCAAGGTGAACCGGCCCGGTTCAGTGAATCACCGTTCAAGTTGAGAGAATCGGCCAATAAGAAATGAAAAATGAAAAAGCTAATAATAACTATAATAATGACAATGATAATTATAATTATAATAATAACAATTACAATAACAATAACATTAACGAAAGTGAGATCGGATTGGCCAGGTTCCTGATAGAGCTGGTTGATTCCAACAAATTACCTCCATGTTCCTGAATGATTGAGGGAATTAGAAGTGTCCGTAAAAGCCAATCCAAATCAGGCTATTCTCATCCAGATCAACAATTTTTAAAACATAGTTATTAAATATGGGTGGCAATGGGTCTGTTCCAGCTAGACTCGGACCCGACCCGTCTAGTCCCAAAGTTGGACCCATACCCGTCGGTCCTGGTCTAAACTAGTCCATTGCCACCCTCACTATGAGCTTCTTCTTCTTTCTTTCTTTTTTGCTCTTTTTTATCATCATATACCCATATTATTAGCATCAAAGTCATAATCACTTGCCATAAGATTTCAAACTTTCTCATTTATCATTTAATAGCTAAATGTGATTTTTTTTAAAGACAATCACATATTTATTGCTCATTCAAACGAGATTATATCATTAGAAATTAAGAGGGAATCAAGGGAGACACCACCCTTAGCTAATGTATCAGCAATAACATTAGCTTCCCTGTTCACATGGGAAAAAGTAATAGAAAAAGCCGAAAAAAAATCTAAAATCTTCAACCAAAAAGAGCGTAGCTCCCACAGAATTAATTGCTCTTAAGTACACCATTGGATGACATTCAGAGAATCCTCTTCAATCAAGCACGAGGAGCCCATATTCCTCTCAACAAAGATCTCAATCCCATTCAGTTAAGCCCGTAATTCTGCCATATTAGCCATAGCCACTGCAATTAGACATGCATAAGAGAAAAGGATAGAACCAACGGCATCTCGAAACATGCTACCAATACTAGCAGGGCTCGGATTACCAAAAGAGCTTCCATCGAAATTCAGCTTAATGCAGCCAATTGGAGGGGCCACCCAAAGGCCTTTTGGTTTGCATCTATGAAAACCCAGAAGGTATAAATTAGGAAGGTTAACCATTACATCCACTTTAGATATACCCCTCCCTATCTTAGAAACTGAGATACTTGACCAAATGGCCACTTAAATTAAGTGCAGTAAATTATCAAAAGAGAAAACAACCCCTTCAAAAGTCCTTATATTTCTTTCCTTCTAAATTTCCCACAAGATAACACCCTTTGCAATCTTCCATATCTCACTTCCCACCTTAGGCAAGAACGGGGGAGAGAACTAGTGGACACAAGTAAGAACATTCGGTGGTAGCACAATGGAAATACCCACCAGATTCATTAGCCAATGTCAGATCCTTGAGGAAAACGGACAATGGAGAAGGAGATGGTTAACTGATTCCCCATCCTTGTCTACATACTAAACATATGTTCGGCAAAAATTTTCCCCTTTTAATGAGATTATCCAACGTTAAGATCTTCTCTTGGGCAACTAACCAAATGAAGACATGCACTTTATGTGGGATTGACCATTTCCAAACTTGGAGAACACCTCCATCGGTCATGAAAGAATAAATTGTAACACGACTTAATCGAAAATATCCCATTATTTTCAATTTTCGAAATCAGCAAATCATCAGCATTATTTGCAATGTAGACCTTGTCCAATAATTCCAACAAGCGACACCATTGTGTTAGAATAACATTATTCAGGCGTCTATAAATGAGGAGAATGTTCCACGATAATCTATTACCTCTCCTTTCAACTGCTTCTGAAATTATGATATATGGGATTGAAACCACATTGTACAAATCAGGAAACGCCACTTTTAAAGGATAGTCCCCAAACCACTTGTGCTGCCAAAGCATAATTTGTCTACCATTACCTGGGATCCATCTCAAATATCCCGAAAGCATAGGCCTGCATCTGAAAATACTCCTCCAAATAAAAGAAACATTACTTCCTCTACCACCTCTCGACCTAGTTCCATGCATTTCCAGTCCATACTTTGCTACCAACACTTGACACCAAAGATGATCTTTTAGATGAGTACTTCTCCACCACCATTTACATAATAATGCCAAATTGAAATTTCTTACATTCCTTATACCCAATCCTCCTTTCTTTTTGATGTACAGACTCTATCCCATCTAAGCAGATGATATTTCCTGGTTTCACCATTTGAACCCCACGAAAAATCTCTCGTCATTCGCTCAATCCTCTTAGCAACCATAACAGGAATTTCAATCACAGACATCTGGTAAACTGAAAGATTAGCTAAGCATGATCAAAGCAGAATAACCCTGCCCCCCAAAAAAAGGTATTTATACTTCCACAAGTCCAATTTCACCGGAATTCTTTCTATCACCCTATCCCAAAGAGCAATGGAAAATTTGGAGTCCGAGATAGGTAACCCCAAGTAAGTAATAGGAAAGGATTCAACTTTGCAACTCATGACCAGGGCCAGCTCTTGGACCATCGACATTGGACAGTTGATCCCTACCAGCGATGACTTGTGGAAGTTAACCTTAATGCCTAAAACAACTTCACAAATTTCCAAGAATCATGTCACATTCCTTAACTGATCTTTATCGGCATCAGAGAAAATAATGGTATCGTCTGCATATTGAAGATGCGAAACAACAATAATAGAGTTAGCAATCTGAAATCCATTAAAATTACCGCAAGTTTCAACTCTAGCCAGCATAAGGCTGAAACATTCAACATAGATAGTAAATAGGAACGGGGAAAGAGGGTCTCCTTGATTGAATCCTCTCGAAGTACTAAAAAAACCAATAGGGCTCCCCTTGAAAAGCACAGAGAAATGTATTGAAGAAAGACACCCAAAGATCCAACTTCTCCACCTAGTCCCAATCTTATCCATAATTTCAAGAAGTACACCCCACTCAACCTTGTTATAAGCTTTTTCCGAATCTAGTTTAAGGAGTACACCCGACCTCTTACTTACAACACGTGAATGAATATATTCTTGAGCTACCAACACACTATCGGTAATTTAACGATCATGAATGAATGCAGATTGTAATGTAGAAATCAGTGAGGTAAGAACCTTTTTAAGACGCTCCGCTAACACTTTCGCAATTTTATAAGTACTTGAAAGTAGGCTTGTAGGTTGGATGTCAGTTAACCCACAGATCATGGCTTTTTTATTCATGGATCATAGTTTTTTAGCCACTTATTCATGGACCTTTGTTTCTAGTACATCTCCTCCATTCTCCTCACCTCCTCTAACTCTTTAACCTTTTGACTACGGTCCAACACCACCTGTTCAATCAAAACCCCACTTTCTTGGATATTTTGGTCAAACACTTCAATGTCAGCAACTAAACCATCAATCTTAGCTCTAAAAAACATGTGATTCTCTTTTCTCCATTCCAACAGTTTATGTTTCAAAATGAGCAACTTTTTGTGGATTTGGAAATCCATCGATCCTAAGACCAACGTGTTAGCCCACAATCTCCTGATGAGATCAATCACCTCGACTCCAGCCAACTCAGCTCCAGTCTAAAAGGTTTGGGGCCACCCTTCGAAGGACTAGGAAGCTTGGTCTTTGATCGACTAGGACCAAGCCTTCAATGTCTCTTTAGCCTTTCTACGATTACGAATCTCATTCAAAACCAGCCTCAGGGGAGTTTTCTCCATGCCCATATCAATAAGAATTTTTTGAACCAAGGATACATCATCCATTCGGTCTTCAGGTAGAATTGCCGAGGGTTCAGAGGGCAAGGGGAGAGCTAGCAAAGGTAATGGCTCGGGATTCATCACCAACGCTTGGTCAGGGGGCTGGAATGAAACATCCTCAAAACCATCACCATTATCAACCACCAGAGATTTCAGCGAAGGCAACATATCCAGAATCTCCTTCGCTTCCAACACCAGATTGGATTCATCAGGGTCCACCACTATTATCGCTAAAGGGTCAGTGGGTCAAAACGATTTCGACTCTTTTTTTATCTTCCCTTTGCCATAGCCGAAGGCAACGGGCGCATCCTAAAAGGGATGATAACCGTCACAAGCACCACGCATCACTCACGACCAAACCCTTTGCAGTGAAAAAAGAGGAGGACCAGTGCCGTAAACAAACAAAGCTCTTTAGATAAAGTATACTCTCTCTCTTCAGATTTCAATTGAGGAGAGAAGAGTTCCTTTGGCACAGAAATCAACGGGCCCTTAGCCACCCGTACAACGGCTTGGTTTCCAGAGGTGTGCTAAAGGTGATTACAATTTCTTCTTGTATACTATCCTTAATACACTCAAACGAATATAGCTTGAAGTATTTGATCTCCAACAATTTATGTCCAACCGGACCCAAACCCAAATAATGTTTGGGTTCACGTTTTAGACCCGCCGGGTCCAAATATTGGACCCATACCCGGACCCGTGTCGGGTGTACCTAGCAGGTCCCGGGTTGAGTCGAGGTCCACTGCCACCCTTACTATTAAAGAGTCGGATCAATAATCCTTTAAAATGTTATGTTGCTTAGTTTACCTAAGTAGCAGCACAATTCCTCTTGCTTTGTGAATGACCAGTCTACGGAGAATTTCCCAGCCACATTGGCTCTGTTTCTTTCTTGTATGGGTGCATAGTTATAGCCTTTTGAAAGACCGATAAATTTTCGCGAGCCGAGGGATCATGCGCCGACCTTATTTTCAAAGGTTTTAGGACGAAATACCTCAATTTTAGTGTACTTTTGATATCCTTTCAAAATGTAATTTAGGGTTTAGGCTTGCTTAAAAAGCTCGCACCTTATTTTAAGGTTTGAGCGCGTATATTGTACTTCTGCAGGTGCGT